TTTTGATTTTCGATTTTCCACATCCTCATAGACCATGCACGTACGCATTAATCTTTTCTTCTTAAAAACCATCACCTTAGGATTAAGCTTCCTAAACACTTCAGTGGGAACGAGTAGAAATAATTCATATCATTTTGAAAAGTTAAATCCAAGTATTTCCTTCTCATATCCCGAGCCATGAAATCTTACCAAAAAGGATCATGAATTTTGCGGATGTCAACAACTTTTGTCTCAATATTTAGTTATCCCTGATACTCTTCAAACCATTATAATTATATCTTCATCACTACTGTAATAAATACAAATTGGCAGAGAATTCGAATCAAAGAAACTATTACCACCAAACAGCAGAAAAACTTCTTCATCAACCACAACAATTGTATGCTCATCATCACCCTCATCATAGACAAAACTATAATGATATATACCACAACAAATTTCACAAGAACCATCTGGATAACAATCAAACAGTGGAAGAAGTTCAAGATTTAGGAATTTGTCACATGAAAAAGCTGAAACAACTATTTCTTCAACTTCCATTCTTATAACATACCCAGTCTCAATTACTGACAGTAGCGACTTACTTTAGTGCCACGCCCGAACCTAAGGCCGCCAAACAAATAATCCCACACTTGGTGTGCGAGTAAAAGTAAAAATATAAATGAAAATTGAAAGACAAACTTCTCTTTACAAATAAACTCCAAAATCCTTTCAAGGTGTACAAAAATAAATTAACCTTTAAATCCATCGTCTAACACGCCCTTAGCTCATCTACCCTTCGTTAATCTTGTACCAAACCTGCAAGGTCTAAAATGTATAGGGTGAGCGAAACCACAGCTCAGTAAAGGCATAGGTCTTATGAAGGATAATTGTCAAGGTTAAACTGTGCAACACGTAATCAATTATAACATGTTATCAACATATATTATATTTTATGAATGCATCTTAACTTCAATTACCCAACCTGTTAATCTACATAATATAACATGCGGACCTGCATGTTCCATACCATGCATTTTATCACTGTGGCGTTGTCCGAGTGCTCTATTATACAAACTAAGCCCCATAACTCAATCATCCCAAATACCCCTTTTGTTAGTCCTTGTTCTTCTCTCGCTCGCTAGAGCCCCCACTACTTTGTACCATCCCTATAATTTCACTTTGCCATCCTTGCTGGTCCCTACTAGAATCGAACTCAACCACAAAAACAATAATGTCATTCCATATCCCATTCTCAAATAAATTAATACAATCCATCCGCTCCAATATGAAATGATATGCATATAACCAACATTATTTTGATATCCACATTATCGACAATAACAGCAATATGAATATCATATTCCAAAACACACACTTATATCAATTATAAAGATATATCAAGTATAACACATATTTAACAAAGCTTAAACAAGACAAATACCCCAATAGTAATAAGTTCCCCAAAAAACCCTACTTCAATTCCAAAGCTAAAACGAAGGCCCACATCACTACCGCAATAACTAAGCTCTATGTACTTCAACAAACTCCTTAGTCTTCCAGTCTCCTTTATTTCTAACCTCTATCTGCACCCCCACACACACATATTTATGTATGTATACGCACTACGTGGGCTCCAGAGAATGCATTGCATGCTAGCTCGTAGAGGAAAACAAATGGAGTTGATCTCCTATTTATAGGACTAGGAGGCGGCTACAAATGTAGTGGCCAAGTAAGTAAATACTAATAAAATACTATGTGAGATATACTTGGATTGTGAGGCTACACCTCCTGCTAATTGCATGCATTAAGTCAAGGTGGAGGTGTCTAGATCGTAAAGCATGAATTGATAAATGCAACTTTACAATTAGCCGGATGTGGCAAAGTAGATAGGATTTATCAAAGGCAAACATATAAAAATAATAAATTACCATATTGAGCAAGAAAACCAAACAACATTTCATGCAATTAAAAACTACATGGCATTTTAAAACATAAATGTAACATATTAATAAACAAATTATAGAAATTAAAACACACACACACACACACACACATATATATATATATATATATATTCTAAAATACAGGTTCTGAGATTTAGTAAATTGCAAATACCGTATTTGTAGAAGTAACGGATTGAAGAACCACTTGAAGATTTGGAAACCAAACTGGAAGGGCTTTCAATTAATATATAGCGTAAAGTTTGAGTATTGCTTAATTAACTCTTAATTTGTCCCGCCACAGACACGATGCGCTGGTTTTGCGCATCACCAACGCTGTATGGTGTTTTGCCGATATATGTTCATAAAAAATTTCTCTTGCCGCATGGTTTGTTGCTTTCAAAATTAGACTCCCAGAGCTTTTTAGTGACATATAGGTTGTGTCGATTCTCTGTTTCGAGAATTACAGTTTGCTAACGAACTGGAATTTTGTTATAGGAACTCGAGCAGATGTCTTTACCCTTGATATGTCAGTGCGTCACCCTTGGATCCAATTGATAGCTCTAATACCAACTGATGTAGAGTGATAGTGAAAAGAATCTAAAAAGGGTCCACTATCTCTTGTTAGAATTTTGATAAGTATTTGAAAATATAAATTTGTTGTACCCGTTTCCTTTCCTCCCATTTACAATATTATTGTTTTTTTATTTGATATTATTGCAAGGCCGTTTCATCACTTATAGCCTCATTTGTTACTAGCCAACTCATTTAATTCATATCATGACTAAGAGTTAAATGGGGGAGTTATACATTGTGAAGTGTCATATTGATTAACGCATTAATTGGGCAATGACATAGTCTAACGGCTTTACAGCCTTTTGTTTTCATATAAATCTTCTCTATTCTTTTTCTCAAGAGCTCTTAAGTTGCCCTTTTATCCATTATAATTCTCATTCTTAAAAGTAATATTCTTCAACCACTCAGTATTATGGTCTGGTGGTATTTCTCTCATTTGGAAGTGAGAGATCTTAGGTTCGAATCTCATGGATGACGATTTCGATACCAAATTAGGTTACTCATTATGTGGCTTGACCGAACTCCTCCTCCCCTTAGTGTAAAAATATTGTTGAATTCAAAAAAATAATAATAATAAAATAAAAAGGTGATATCCTTCAAGTTTTATATGCCAAAGGAAAATCGAGTTGTCCACCCGATTCAAGTATTGCAAGTGTACGCTGATGATGATCAACGATTGTTGTATCCTTAAGCGTGTGCCGGTCAAAGGCTATTTGACGATCAGGTTACTGTATGAGACTACAAGTAGTATACAAGAGAATAAGTGTGAGATAATTATGTTACTAAAGATGAACCTTAGAATGGAGTATTTATAACAGTCGAGATAGAGACCTTTTCGGATATGAATCGATATTAAACCGGGAGAATACAGAGGATATCTAGAAATAGATATTGCATGCCAATCCTTAGATTGTAAGGACTCCAAGTATATAGGAAACTAGCTAATTGCCTCCTCGATAGGCTTCCATGTCTTACTGGACAAGCATGGTCAATCTCAATAGAGCCATTAGAGTTCTCCAATTTCTTCGGAATAGAATGATGGTGGCATCGCTGCTCCGTTTGTGCAACTCCGCTTGGAAAATTGTTAAGTCCATGACCGAACTTATGAGGTGTTTGTATTCCGATTCACCTTACTCCGACCTTGGAAAAGTCATGGTCCCACAAATTTAGATATGGTTTTATTCTAAGACCTACCATTTTGTCTTCTGGAACCTCCTTGAAATCAAAGGTGTCTCATACCGCAGTCAAGCAATCTAAGAGCTCCTTCGGTTGCATCCCATCATGAAACTCAGGGATTTCAATTTTGAATCCAGGATCTCAACGATTATTGTTGTTTTGAATCACCCGAGCAACTAGTCTGTGGGGAATATTTGGCATCTTTCATGCCTCAACCAGCAAATGGATTAACACCTTGTAACCCCTAGGTAGTGGTGGAGGATTTTGTCTTTCCCGACAGTTTGGTGGTGGATTTTCAGAAACCGAAGTCTTATTTCCTCCATCATCCCCTTCATCTCCGCAAACTGGTTGTCATGTCGAGCCAACGATTGATTGATGCCTGTCATCTCATCTCCTTGGGAGTGAACATTTCTTTTAGGACTGCATCACAATACTAACATCTTTATTTGGGTTGACCCTTGGACTTCGGCCTACAATAACTTAAAGGGCTTACTTAGACTCGATCCAAATAGTAATTCAAAAATCTATTTCACATCTCACGTAGCACATTTCTAATTCCCTCGTATTTACATTTTGCGGTCCATTCCTTGGACTCACTCCCTTGAGATTTGAAAGTCCCTCTTCCTACATATAGCCTACAAAGCTTGATTCTACCCACAACAAGCGTCACCAACAGTAGATCGTCCGAAATGAACACCAAAATAAAAGGTAAGCCTGGAAACAGCTGTTTTCGTTCTTCAAGTCAGCTACATCAGCAACGTAATAAGCGTAGGCATCCCAATCCCATGCATGATCGATCAATAACGCCGTCTCCAACTGAAAAAGCTAAACATAGCCCCGTCCAGAATTATAGTTATGCAAGAAGTTATTTTAAATGAACAGCGTTATACCATATTCATATATCATCTCCAACCGAATAAGCTAAACATAACCTCGTAAATAATTTATTAGTTTTAAATTTGTACTTTAAATTTATTGGATTGGTTAATTTAATTAAATTACTGTTAAATGTTTTCAAATCTAGTACGTGAAATTAAATCACTTATTGGAATTGAGAAGCTTAGCCCAAAAAAGGACCAAGAGAGGAGGGCTACATTAGGCAAGCTGATGTCCCTTTGCCAAATAATAACCTAATGGACTCTAGAATTATATCCTAACAATTGATTGGAGATGAGTTTTTAAGCAAATCAGGCAATTTTTCGACTTTTAAACCTTTAGCTCTCTCTGTTGGAGATGACCTAACAGCCCATATCTACAACCCGCAAACAAAATATAGGAAATGAACCAAAGAAAAATTAAAACCACCGGACATTCAACACTTACAAATTGTTCACATAATTTATTTTATTTCAAATATATGAAGTTCAAGTAAGCCCTGACTTCATAGAGGGCAGAATACTCCACTCACCATATTTAGTTATACTATAAAAGCTCAATAAAAACATCGAGTACCAAATTGGGAAACCATGACACCATTCACCACATTACGACTGACCCACGACACGACTCCGACAAGACTCCTCACACTTGACAGCGCAAATATTTTATATGTATGTATCTACCACATATCCCAATTCACATCCATGCCCATTATTAGTATCATCCATTCCCATTAACCTGTGCACAACTCAGAGCTCTCCGAAAGCAAGGTCATGTTACATACTATCATCTCCCACCTGATGATTACCGATATCCAACTACAATATACGCTTCAACACTTCAGTAGAGAGCAAGCAAGCGAGTAAACCGTTTTTATTCCACCAGCTGCCGGATGCATACATATCCCCCAAAACCAACATATGATCTTATTAACACCTTCTATCCATCCCCAAGTTACCAGACAAGGCAGTTACTTCTTATGAACTCCGCAACACGAAACATGAATCCATATCTCTCATCCTCCGAGCTGGAAAGCTTTGGCAAAATCTGCCTTGCACAAAACACAAAACACAAAATCAAAACCCGAATAAGTAGATAGAAAAAACCAGCTCAACCTTCATAGTAAATGATTGGAAGGTTCCTTTAAGAATTAAAAAAAATCAGATTCATTACTTCTGGAGGAGTTAAAGATTTATATACTTCCAAAAGGCTATAAACCACCATTTCAAGGTTAGTATGGTGAAGCCAGCGGCATCTCTGTGAACAGAATCTTATGATATATGTTCCCCGCGGAATGCAAGCAAAGTGCAGGGTACCACAATATGAACATTCATCATTTTCTTTGAGAAGATGAGGTAATCAACAACAACCAAGTTAACAACAATTTTAGGCCATATACGGTCTATGGAATGGAGAAGGTTGCAACTATAAGAGGAGACAAGGTGTATTAACGACAATTCATAGACAGAATCTCCTTGCATATTATAAGCAAGAGATGGGAAATATCTGCAGGTATGGGTTTCTTAATTAATAGACTTTAGAATGTTAAGAGACCGAACTACCTATTTGTATTACACTTTGACCAGCACAAACCATAAGATAAAACAGATCCGTTCGGAAAGAAAAGTGATAAGTGATTTATGAACAATAACATTTCACAAACATACCTGTGTAGTTGTAACTGCCAGCTAGAAGCCAAGGCCACCAAGGCTCCAACAAGAATTTAACATTGACAAAGCTTCAAAGTTGGAGTTTGTGTTCAGTAGCAAAGGGCGATGCAGACATTCACCAGGATCATCCTCATGAACCTTAACAACAAGGGAACTCCACGTGAAGAACAGATAGGCAACAGGTGTAATGCCATCATGAAGAGAAGAACATTCTTACCATTATAACCATACTGACTTCACACAAAATGGCGGCCCGTCCAGAGAGACTGTCCTTGATATTGCTCAGGCTGTGGATTCAAGTTCTGATTTCCATTTACAAGTTGTTGCTGTTGCTGCAGCTGCATTTCATGGTGTAGCTTGAGGTCATCAAGCCTCTGGATATCTTGCCAGCTTTTCTGGGTTTCCCCTGGTAGTTGAATGGGTGGACCCTGTTTACCAGGAAAGGGGAAGTTCACTGTTCCACTTAAGCTGTTGCTGTTTGTGAAGCGATGGGGATTGTATTGAGATGAATAACTAACATAATCATTAAGCCCATTTGCTTTTGTTGAAGATGGCATCTGATATCCATCCAACCAGCTGTAATCATCCATCACTAGACTCTCACTCATTGAATCTGAACTATAAATTGATTCATTCGCATTTTTGGGAGGAATGCGGCTAAAACCAGGTGGTGGACCAAGGTGCCTAACAGGTCGACTTACTGGACTTTTTCGGATACCTGTAGGCAGAGCTGATGATGTCTTTACAGTCAACCCGTCAGCAATTGCTCCATAAGTTGCATCAACTTTATAAGGCAAAAGATTTTCTGGAGCTTTTGTGTGGCTGTGAAACATACCACCAGTACTACCATTCACTGGGTGCTGGTATGGACCAGAAACTGCTACAGGCTCAGATTTTAGTGCATGCCCATTCCCCATAAATCCCATACTCTTTAAGCTATTAGCAAGAGACATTTCTTCCTCCATTGCGAGATTCAAAGAATTTGATTGAACTGGTTGCAAATTCAGGGGGACAGTATTGGTAATTGATGCAGGTAGTTGTGAACCAACACCAAAACCAGTATCCACTGAAAACTTGGAACCACGTAACTGGATCGGTTGCAAGTGTTGGGGTATACCATTTGCAAAAGATACAGGTATTTGTAAATCAGCCCTAAAGGCATTTTGATGGTGTAGATTATCCAAAGCGGTAGAACCATAAGTTACATTAACTGTTTGATCACCTGGAGAAGCATTTTTACCAGGCTCTAGGCCGTCATAGGCTGTCCATGCGGTGCTTACTGCATCAGGTCGCTTCTCAGTCACTATTGGCTTAAAGACTATTACTTCATCTTCCTCATCCCCTTCCATGGATAACTCTGGCTTTGGATATGCAGCTCCCAAACTGATTGTACCCTCTACTTGATTTTCTTGCAGATTATCATTTCCATTAGCCATATGTAGATAGGAGGTAGGAACAGTATCATTTTGCACTTGAGGCTCAAAACCGACGACAAATTTCTTTAACTTCGAATCAAAATATACTGCTTCCTGGTCAACCTTTACCACATTTGCAAGAGCTTTGCCTGCTGCCAGAATCCTCTTAACACGGGCCCCTTTTTCCTTATGGCCATCACTTCCAAAAGAATGCTTCCTTGAGAAGTCCAATATTGTTTGTGCTGGAATTAGTGGAATAAATCCTCTCAACTCAAAATCCTCCCACAGAGCAAGACGGTTTTCAGTTTCACCTTCTTCGTATCTGCTCATGTTATTAAAGCAAGTCTCATCTTCATCATCTATCAACATTGGCCCAGTAGACGAGAGACTATTGAAGAAGGATATGCAAACATTCCAGAATTTGGATCTAACAGACGACTGTTTTTCGTCTGCATCACTTCCAGCTGCAACATCAGGACAGCATGCCAACCATTCTACAAAAACCAAAATACCTGGTAACAGGAAACTTGAAGAAGGATCACACAACTGCACACACCTCTCTAAGATGTGTCCCATCAACTCAAAAACAGCAGTAAATGCATTCTGCAGCAGGACAGCACGTTGTACAATTTCTGCATATGTTTGACCTTCACTTTCCTTTTTCGCATTATGAACTGTGAATATCAGTATGGAGATAAGTCTAACAATAAAAAGTCCATTTTCAACAGCATCTGCACCAAAATTCAGCACCTCTTCTCCTCCAGAAGACAGAAGCTCACATAAGCCACCGCTTACCACAGTTAGAACTTCTGCAAATGTCTCCAGGCTACAGAAAAAGAATCATAATAAGGAGGCTAATCTTCCAAACATTTTGTAATGAGAGAGATGCAGGCAGGATATACATACATATATATATATATAAAGAGAGAGATAAAGAGAGAGAATGCCATTCAGATTGATATACTTCAACAAAACTCCAAACTAATAAACTTCAACAAAAACATACCTAGTACGAGTGAAAAGAATGCCATTCAGACGGACAAAACGGATGCAAAAAGCCTTATGAGTCTCCTGGGTACTGGATGCTCTTTCGTTAAGCAGGCTCACTTCGGTATTGTTATCTTTAGATGTGGGTATTGTTTCCCCTTTCCCTCTACCTTTGCCTGCCAACCGTGCAGGCAACTCTTTGACTGCAGAAGCATTAGTATTCCCAGACAGTTGAGAGTAACTCTGACGATTCTACAAAAAAATAAACAAATAACAGGTTTTAAATTTATAGCATGTCAGACAATAGAACAGAAAATTGCGTGTAAAATTTATACTGGGAAAGAATTAGAACTAATACATAATAACCATTAGTAACCTCCATCATTCTTGGTGCACAAAAATTTAAACGAATGCTTGATACTTCTATGTATGGCTTAAACATTTGAAAGAATTATATTGGAGGATCCAGATAAATAAAAATTTATCAGAAATTTCAAGACAATATCAATGCAAATAGTTACAAAATTTAATGAGGTCATCTTAAATACAGAATACCTTCTCAAATGCAACAATCAAGTTATCTCTTGCAGTTGAAAAGGGACTATCCACCGCCAGGCTACGAAAATATCGATAAACAGCCACCAACTCATCCCCCGAATAGGAAGCCAATATAGCAAGCTAAAGCATTTCAGAGCGAACCATCACAATAATGATAAAGAGACATCCAGATAAGAATATATGAAGAAAAATAAATAAAGAAAATACCTGATGATGGGGGTTCCCACTGGATGGCCAGAGAGATGCAGCTTGCATATAGTAACTTGAGGCTGCAGCATACTCACGAGTTTTTGAGTCCCCTTCCCCGTACAGTCCTTTGTAGCGTGCAAGGTCACCCAAATATATCAAGCATCTGTGGCATGAAATTAGACCTTTCTTTCCATCCTTGTCTATAACAGTCCGGTTTTCAGAATCTTCAGAGAAATAACCCAGAGGAAGCCCATACTTTGCTCTGATCTTTACTATTAAATCATGATAAAATCCAGTTGCTTCTGAAAGGAATGTTTTAAATTGCAGTCTTATTTTTGTAACCCGATCAGGCCTAATTGGCCCCTTCACACCCTGAGATGTGTTTGAACCTGTAGAAGCCATAGCAGCACTGAAGTGTGCTCGCAATTCCTCAATACGCTTGTAATGTAACTGCCATAAAGCATACTCGATATTGTTCTGCTCAGAAAAAGCATGATCCTCAAGAATTATTGCTTCATAATTCTCACGCATCTGTTGCCAGGCATTGGGATCTGATGGAATTCGTGCTTGGGCAGACCTCCGTCGCCTATTCTCCAACTCAAGAATCTGAAAGGTAAAAATATGAATGTAAAATAGCATCAAATCTGGAGCAAAATCGACAGAAAAATTCAGATACAACACATACACGCACAGGTTCCTGCTGTAAGTCTAACAGAACTCCCATTTAACATTTTATATCATGCATGTTGTAGTTGCAGTTTAAACATATAGGAAGAAACAGCATGATTTTTCCAAAAAGGGCAGGGGCAAAAGGATATACCTTGTCATACAGGCGTTGGGCACGCTCCCTTGATGAAGGAGCAGACATGTTATCCATCTGTGGAATCATTGTCCATCAAATATGTTTGATTAACTGAGTGCGGCATTAAATCTGCATAAAATTTAAGCTGCATCAGTTGTTGAGAAACAAATCAACCAAATTTTGTTCCTCAACCGAATGAAATCAAGACCATTGAAAGAGAGGATGAATAGCATAACATAAATTCCTATTGTTAGAGCAACATATTTAGCTGAAAAGGTTTCATACTAAGCATCCACAAGACCAATCATTGTGGACACCATCCCTTATCGCCAGCAAATATATCATGATCTACATTTTATTGACAACGTCTCAATTGATATTACAACTAGATATCCACTCAGTTTAACCAAACACGCCGTCATGGAATAGACATGCCTTAAAATATCAAACTAAGTAGTAAGCTTGATTTACCGTCTACACCCCACGAATAACGCCACCAAAAACACTTACGTAAGAATAATAGAAAGCATCTTTCGTGAAGCAAAACAAATTTTTGAAAGAAAAAAAGAAGTGATCACATTCACGACAGAATATATATTTATTGTCGAAACCAACTACCTTACAAACCCAATAATACCACTAACAGTTCCTAAAGCTCCTCTGAAATACTACCAACCCATTCAACGCATAGTATAACTCATTAAAGACCGCAACCGCATTATAACTAGGTTCCTTGTAACCATGAGAAAGGATTCCCTGCTCCAATAGAAACTCTTGTTTCTTATCGGACCGCTAACCCACATCACAAAATCATTCACGCATTTATTATTCGTATAACCGGGTGTACAGATTTAAGCATCCCAACAACATTCTCAAACAACAGTTAGAAATTTAGGACAGGAAACACTAAATTCATACAACCCCCTAATATTCATCAACAACTCAGAATAAAAAAACACAACAGTATAAAACTCATGTCTGGTTTCTGGAAAATTTTGGGAGAAAAAGAACACAAACCAAATCCTAGAAGAAAAAAAAAAGGGTTTCAAAACCAATACCTGCGTATCATACCCTTTCGATTTCTATTTCTATTTCCTTATTCCTTTCCTGAATACAGCAAAAAATAAATTTAGAAAGATAAAAATTATATAAGATTTTCCCATATAGACAAAGAAAGAAGAGAACATTCAAACTTTTATAATATAGTATATATGAAAAAAATGAAAATTAACGTAGACATCAGATCCGATAAGCAAACCCCCATACCAGACTTACATCAAACAGCCCTAAACTTTTCCACGAAAAAATCTGGGAAATAAATTGAAAAATTCAGAAAAAATAAAAACAATGGAAGAGAAACGCACCACTCCACAGCGGATCCACGCAGCGATTCGACGGACTAGAGCATCGGATTGCGATTTAAAAGTCTTCGCGTTTAGGGTTTGGCGAATGAGAGAAATGAGGGAAGAAAGAGCGAGAGAGAGAACGGTGTGGTTTGGTTTCTTTTGGTTTGTGGTTTTTGGGTCCAATGGGATGAGGTTAGAGAAACGAAGTTTCTATTTCTTTTTTCTTTTCTTTTTTTCCTCTTTTTTACCAGCTTGGATTTCAGGCGGCGAGCCAAGATACGCCGACGTTTTGGGTCCTGATTATTGATACCCATTGGCCGTCCATTTATTTATTTATATTCTTTTTTTCTTTTTCATTTTGTCCTTTCTATAGCTGAGTCGGGAAATTAATTGTGACCTGTTTCGTGTGCCCTTTTTGGTAATGCCGAGACACCACATGCTTATATACCATATTAGTGTGTCGACACATCATTTAATTTGTAAATTTTATCTTCAAATTTAATTTTTCTAATATTATTACTCTATGTAATATATACAATGGACATTATGAACTTGTCTCTTAAAAAGAAAAAAAAGGATATAAACAAATAATATTACTTTTCTCTAGAAGTCAACCGAAAAAACAAAGAGGGGTCTTCCAATCTTTAGCCTGATGTACAAGTTATTGAAATGGAGGAGCTTATTGAAGTAAAGCATTTCTCCAACCCGAACCCCTGGGGTTATGTTAGATGATAATGGAAACAACTTCAAATGGGAACTTTTTGCAAGGAACGCATGTAAGTGGGCTTATGATTGTGAATGCTTTTTGAAATCCCATTAAGGGAAGCTTTGGGTTTTATTGAAGATATTTTAAAACCCAACAAGCTTGGGCTTCCTGGTAAATTCTTCGACATATTAAGAAAAAAGTTTTACATCACATAATTTTTTCCATATACCTAACATAAATTAAAGAAAACATCTTGAAGCTTAAATTGCAAAAAAACAAAAAAAAAAAAAAAAAAGGTTTTAGACCAATAAAAAAATGAGAAAATTTAGAGTTTTGGACAAGCCCTGCACCAACGTCAATTTTCGTCAAGCTCCACGATCTCTCTAATTATGACAATAGACCTTGGAATGGATTTGAATTGTTGTATATGAGCAATGTAAGGAGTAGCTCATTCTAAACACCATGGTTCACAATATCCTTGCCAATTTGTTGCTATAGGAGGAATTGGATGACCTGGTGTCAAGAACACCTGCATAAAAGTACAACTTAATTAAACTAGACTACAAGAAATTTATAACTTAAAATTAAAGTAAATGCATTCAATCCTTATAAGATCACCTACAAAAGTTTCCAACAATAAATCCTTATATCCATATCTGCACAAAATGATAATTGGTGAATCCGACGGCTCTCCTTACGTGCTTCTAGTGGTATAGGTGTTGTTCTAAGATATGAAAATGTAAGACATTGTACATCTAATAGGTGGATAAGTACCACACCATAACATGATGCAATAATATGGCCCATGTCAGCCATAGTCATCTACCGATCCATGTTTGCATGAGTTTCAAAATATCTCAATACATGCTCCAACTCATGGGCCTTATTTTCAGACCATTATAGCTTGGAGTAGCAACTTGAGTAAGCCTCTAACTCTTCTAATAAATCTTTTCGCACTTGTACCCATCCATCCTTTTTATAACCCAACAATGATGCAATTACTCTAAAACCGCAATGTACATCAGCTGCCACATCTTTTACGGGAAAAATGTATGACCTTAATGCTACTGAAAATGCATTAGTTAACTCAATTAGCTTAACTGAACAAGTGTGATGCACCATCTTCTTTGGTCGCCTCTTTTGTTTTGAACTCATTTCATGATAAAGACCACCAAGGGTACAACTATCCATCCCAAGTTAATGACTTCCTTACTCCAATTCCGCAATCTTCAACAATGACGGATCACAACGAGTAGATTTATCCGTCCTTTTACTTGGCCTACCTCTAGTCTTGGTTGTCACAGATGGTTCAACAAGTAAAGTAGTTTGTGGTAATACTAACTACACAAGTTTCATTTTAAGGACCATTCTTGCAATTGCATCAAATTCTATCCAACGACTATGAAACAACTTCATCTCTGCATCATAAGCGTACTTTGTTGCATTTCTTGTAGGTGTATACTTCATGTTAAGTTTCCTCCAATGAGGATCAATGCTCTCAAGTGGAATAGGTCAACCATCTCTCATATATCTAACAATCTCATGAGCACATAGTAATCCATGAGTCTCGTAAAACACAACCACATGCCTTGACGTCAATATAGTTCATTTTGGACAACTCATACTACTTTAGGACCATATATAGTGCACTAATTGAGACATAGCCACAAAGTTCCATGAAATTTGAATGTCTAAAATCATAATGCACCACTATCAAACTTTTCTCAAAATGAGCCTTGATTTTAGTGTGCTACAACCCAAGCAGAGCACGTATAATTTCCCACAATGTCTTATATGTTCCTTTGGCTACTTCCAAGATGTCTTTTTAATTTGGCATGTAAGGACTCATCCTTGTTAAAGTAACAAGGGTTTAGCAATCTCACTAGAAAATGAAAATGAAAATAAAGTAACAAGTGATAAATGCTTACCTATTTGAGGTTGTATTCCCAAAGTGCATAAATTTATCAATCCATGTTGCACCAAACCTTTCTTTATATGGATTCAACCAAGTATCTATCACATATTGAAGCATCTTTTGATACATACTAAACTCATTGCATAGTTGTCTTGTCTGCCTTATGAAATCGGCTTCAGTAGGAGATGCAAAATTGTATTCTATTTCTCCAAAAATCTATTTCAATCTTCCTTGGACTTATATAATTTTTTGAACTTGGCTAGCACATTCTTATTGATGTGCCATCTACATAATAAATGCTTACTTGTACCCAATATAAGTTTAATGGCCCTCATCAAAGTCATTTCTCTATCTATCACAATAACATCAGGCATAACAATACCATCTATGAGTCCTCGCAATATACTCAAGGCCCAAATGTAATTATTTTCTCATTCCACAAAAAGATAAACAAAACCAATGAAAAATATCATATCAGTTGACGTAACTCCAACAATTTCTAACAATGGCATATAATACCTATTGGTCTTGTAGGTACAGTCCATAATCAAAGTATATGGAAATGCATGTAACAATTCCAACAAGTTGGCTGTGTCCAAAACAAGTCCAAAATAGCATTAGTCGTTGGGCAACTCCTATGCCACTCAATGTACCTATGCTCAAATAACTTACACATCAATTGCATTAGACCTCCCACCTTTCTCCAAAAGCCTCAAACATTGACGTGCATTATAAATTGTCCTCAGTGTAAATACATTTTGTTTATCTCTTCGTTTTAGTGTAGTCAAAATCTCCTTTGGTTGCACCAAACTTTTAGACAGATCAGTTAATAATGAAGTCTCTTTCGACGATAATCTACCAGAAAATGAATGACCCTCCAAATGGTATGCTGTTGTGTGATTATGCACTCCAATAACAACCATCAATATCCAATCATTATCAGTTGCTAACTTTTTACCCTTTAATTGAAATGGGTATCCATATTTTTCCATTTCAGAATTCCTTCTATTCTCGTCTTTTATGTCATTTTTGAGAATTCGACTTACATATTGTCCATTCCTTTCACAACCCAATGTAAGTCTAGGGCTCTTATTATCTTTTGCACCTCGATTGGACCATAACGTCACAATAACAAAACCATTGAGCTTCCCAACTTCTTGAGCCCATTATATTAATTCTTCAAGATAATCTACTAGCAAATGAATGACCTTCCAAATGATATACTGCTGTGTGATTATGCACTCCAATAACTATCATCGAAATCTAATTATATCAGTTGCTAGCTTTTTACCCTTTAATTGAAAAAGGCATCCACATATTTCGTTCCAGAATTCCATCTATCCTCATCCTTTATATCTTTTTTGAGAATTTGACTTACATATTGTCCATTCCTTTTACAACCCAATGTAAGTTTAGGGCTCTTATTATCTTTCCACCTTGATCGGATCGTAACATCACAATAACAAAACCACTAAGCTTCCCAACTTCTTAAGCCCATTATATTAATTCTTCACGATAATCTACTAGCAAATGACTGACCCTCCAAATGGTTTGGTGATGTGTGATTATGCACTCTAATAACTACCTTTAATATCCAGTCATTATCAGTTGCTAGCTTTTTACCCTTTAATTGAAATGGGCGTCCACATTTTTCCGTTCCAGAATTCCTTCTATCCTTATCCTTTATGTCTTTTTTCTGAGAATTTGACTTACATATTGTCCATCCTTTCACAACCCAATGTAAGTCTAGGGCTCCTGTTATCTTTTCTACCTTGATCAGATTGTAACATCACAATAACAAAACAATTGACCTTCCTAACTTCTCGAGCCCATTATATTAATTCTTCTCTACTTCTAAATAACTTCATACCAAAATTACATATTATGAATAAACATACAAGTATATAAGTAAATCAATTACATAGTCAAGCCATATATTACCTTATTTGTGGTAAATTCACTAGTATAGTCCACCATATGTGTAGATGCTAAATTACTACCAGATTCATCTACCTGCTACAAAGAAAGAAATGTGCAAATATGATTGTACTAGCTTTTGTTTATTTTTTCAAAACAAATTCTAGGAATATGAAAACGTGAAAGTTAGACATAAAATCATATGAAAACATGGAACAACTATGAAAACGTGAAGGTTAAATATAAAATCATATGAAAGTTAAGTACGAATTCTAGGAATTCGCATATGAAACATGAAACAAATTGCACCCTAACCTCATGCAAACAAATTCCAAGAATTCCCATATGAAAACGTGAAACAAATTGCATCCTAACCTAATGCAAATTCAAATAAAAATCCATAGAGCTATCCTTCAATTGTACGATGGTGACAAATCAAGATGACCCACACATAAAATTATTCTTCTACCTCTTCGACAGAAAAATAATCCTCTACTTCTTGCATATAAATGTCATCTTCTAAGTTCATTCATTTTGCTTTCTCTGAATGAAAGGCAATGGGAATGATGAGTTAGGGTTTAAGAGAGACAAATTGTCTAAATAAGCGTGAGAGTTATCACACCCAATTTTTTTTTTTAATAA